ATAAAAATTAATACAATTTTATTAAATTCACGATAAAAAAATTAGTTTCGAAATATGGAATTAAATTAAATTAAATTTTGATTTCAAAAATATATATAAATAAATAAAAGAATGAAAACATAAAAATAAAAAAAGTAGGAAAAAATAATTAATAAAGACTAAAAAATGCTATGGCTTCAATGGGCCACCATCTTTAGTCTTTAAATCCCTTTAAATCTTCTGTGCTTCAACGACAGAAATTCTATGTGGGGAAAATGACAAATTTGAGGCTTTTTCTTTCTATTGTTTTTGGGTGTTGTGATTGGTTGAAAACCTCAAATTCAAAAGTAAACGTCTTAAGAAGCGACTTTTAGTTCATATTTTTTCACAAATATATTTTTGTTTTTGTTTATATGTTTTAATTGTATATTTTTTGTTTTCCCTGTAAAATAGCCAAGTATAAGAAAGTCAAAGGGCTTCCGTGCTAGTACGAACGGAGAGCTGTCATTTAGTTTCAGTTTTACACCACGCTTGAGGTTGCAAATTCCTGCTATGCCTAAAATACCAAAATGGGCATCAAATATTCTTAAAAAAATATCAAACAAGATCAAAGGTAAGCAATGCGCTAAACTATGATCATCCAAACGCACCAAAATTTAGACTTTCGCATGAGTTTTGATCCCAATTTTTGTTTTGGGTTAACAATCAAAACCTTTTTTAACAGTTAGAAAATGATGTACTATGATAAAATGCCTGTGTTTGAAGCGGTATTTTCAATTGTACAAGGATGTTTTGTTGCATTTGCGTTGCTTTGTTGCTTTGTCAGGCTTTTTTAAATAAAAAAAAGGAAAATAAGCAAATGAAGGCCTAAACCTCATTTAAAATTTTTGATTTGGGTTAACACTTTGATTCCACTTTCATCGGTCATCTCCACTTCCAAGCAAGTTAAACGTTCTGAATAGCAAGATTTTAGCCTTGTACAACAGCCTTTCTTCAAGAAAATAGTTTTTGGCGCTCACCGCTTGAATACGAAAAGAATTCTCTCCTAATATTTACTGTTAGATAAAGTTGGTATGTCTGATCTAATGTAAATAACATTCTCATCTCCACGGTTGTCAACAGAAAGATCTCCGATAAAATCTTTACCAACTATCAATCTAAGTTTGGAAATCCCTATAACAGTCGAAAGCACTGGCCTAAATCCGTGTTCGCCCAAGTGCCACCCTTTAGGTAGAAAAGGATTGAAGGTCAAGATTGGTGCAACGAAAATTGCTCTCAGCATAACTATTGGTGGAAGAAAAATATTTAGCTCAAGCTTGGGATGTATTGGGCTGATTATCATCGAGTAAGTATAGCTAATTGCACCCCGAGTTTTGTGAATACGGCTACTGCCCTATCTACCTTTCAACCTTCCGGCTTCCTCTCTGCCTCCTTTCCTCCCTGCTTCCCTGCTTCCCTTCCTCCCTTCCTCCCTTCCTCCCTTCCTCCCTTCCTCCCTGCTTTTCTGCGTTTCTGTATTACTGCCTACCTATCTACGAACTTGACATCCTACCCCGAACCTACCGACCTATTGACTGAAATGCAAGTATCCATCACAATTTTCCTTTTAAAAAATGGTAGGTGAAAACAGATAGATGAATTTTAAATACATGAAGATATATAAATATCAAGAGAATATGAACTAAGTGTGCACAGTTTGATGCTATTTTTAGCTTGGAGATATTTTGAGCGAAGAACCTGATTGGTTGATTTCTTGAGGGTAGGCGGCTTCCAGTCTTGCATTAAACAAAGCCTGATTATCGCGCCGGCATGGTAACAAGTTAAAAATAGCATAAATGATTCTAAAAATAGCATCAAAGTGTGCACATGATGGGGCACGGGGATTCCTTCTCTTAGTTCATTTTCTCTTGGAAACATATTTATTTTGGGCGAATAACCTCGTTCCCAAGCATAATAACTTATCTATATTTCTATATCTTCATGTACTTCATAAGTGCTACGCGGTCCACGTATTCTGAATTTTAAGTAGTTATTTACTTAAATTTCATTTTAGATACTGCTATGACATTCCACCTCATGACCAGGTAAAGTGAATGAGCTAAAAACGCATTTAATAGAGATAATATATCATAATTTGTCATAAATTTAAAGTAATCAATATATAAGATAAAAAGAAGCTGTCGTATTACTGAATAAGTTTACCTTTTTAAGACTTGCAGGCCGACTGAAAAACCAGATCCGCCAGAAACTGGATGTGGAAATGATGAAAAACCCAATAATGGATTGGGAAAATGTGGGGATCCTCCTGTCTGCTTAACTGGTTGGTCAGGAGATGGATGTTCCAAACCAGATCCACCATCAGGTAATTTAAAGTTGCAAATCTCGGCAGTTTGTGTGCGTGTGGCTGAAGAATGAGACCTCCTTTCATTTGATTCAGTTGGCTATTAGGCACCGGACTGTTGTGCGGGAAGAATCAATGCAAATTCGCGGTCTAATCCACACACAGTCGAAGTCGTTTTCAAGAGGATAAAAGAATAAGACAATTAAATTAATTGATATATGCACTCTGCACACGTTCAAACACAATAAGCATGTGATTAGGGACCAGAGTTTACCTATAGCGTCATCTAGTTGAGTGAATTGGATTGAACATCGAACTGTTTTGCGAAAGGTCTTGTGTTCAATCCACAGACAAACAAACACTCGGAGTCTTAAAATATCTTAGTAAAAGGTACTGCCTTTGCTCTATAAATATCTTCAGATGGGGAGTCTCTCGCTGTGGGTCCCTCCTAATTTAGAGACGTTACACATAGAGGGACACAAGTTAATCAGTCTTAGTTTCGACTGTCACGTGTCACCCTCACTAATTAAGGACTATTATTATCACTATTAGTATTTAATAACAGATTTATAATGGAAAATGTTACAATATTTCTAGGGTGCGTCAATGGCCAACCCTTTGGCTCTGAGAACTGTACCGTGACTTGTAAATGTGATCCAGGATGGATTGGCCTCGCATGCGATGTAAGAGCACCATCGATAACTACTGGTGATCCTCATTTGACTACGTTCGATGGTTAGTAGTTTCTTAAAAGATGCACAAACGCGGTACGACATTGTGCGCAATATTGGAGGCAAGGTTGCTGAATTAGGATCGTTTTCTACTCCAGAAACATTACGTGCAACACATTGCGCGACGACGTTATTCCAAATAACCTCACACTATGGAATGATGTTGTATTAATTATTCATTCTTGTTTTCAGTTTAACTTATTTTCAACTTTAGCACAATAAAAACGACATTCCAAGAAAATCATATCATTATCCATGTCGGAGTAAAAAGAAAGGGCGCGACTGACTGACGATTCCCCATTTAAATTTTTGGCGTTTCTTTCTTTTGAAAGTTTCGATCAAGAAAACTCCCCAATGCCCAGCTCTGGCGCATTGAGTCTATAGACAACTTTACTTGTTTAAGGTCTCATAATTAATATAATATTATTATATTTTAGGAGTAAATTATGACTATTTTGGTATTGGTGAACTCTGGGGATGCCAGAGCATTGAGAATGACTTTGGTCTTCAGTTCCGCTTCTTTGCCTACGAAAGAAGCTCCTTGACGGGAGGAATTGCACTGAAAGCAGGCAACAACACTATCACATTAATGACTGTTCGTACACCTAACATCGCCGATTTTCCAGTACTAAGGTACGACAGAACAAAATTTAAAGTTCAAATTTGTCAGCTTCTGTCTAATCTTGGTATTATTGGGTATCACGTGGAATATCATTTACTGAATTGTTTTAAGAGGCTGATTTTTAAGCAGTGAGGAAAACAATAGAATCCGAGAAAGCACCTTATAAAGGTTGCCGAACCCTAAACAAATGATGAACCACTTTTTATATTCCCAAAAACAGCAACCTCATGTAATTTTTTTCCTTCCAAACAAACGCGCTGTTATGTTTTTAGCAATGTTTGAGTTCAGTTTTAAGTCTAACCTTTTGGTCAGCTTGTTTCTGGCCTACTCGATTCTGGATAAGCCTACCTTGAACTGGCAAAACGCTATTCAAAAATGCTATTTACGAATGCCGGTTATTTTTCTACAGGTTAAATGGACAAAAATTAGACGAAATCCCATTTTTGGGTAAAGAATTCAAATTGGACAATGGAACAGTAATGWTTAGTTTGTCCAGAAAGTCAAAAATAGAATCAAACGACTCAGCAGTTTTGTTGATGTCCGTTGAATACAAATCAGGTAACTATTAACTAAGTTTCTCTTCTTTTATCTTATTAAAAAAAGTAAAAGTAAGGACATCCAATCTGCAGAAGCACCATATTCTTCGTTTATAGAGTGGTTTCTTTCACTGCAGCCATGTCGTTGAAGATATTCGGAAGTTTTCTCCTTTGGGACTTAAAATCTCTTGTATAGAGGCTTTGCACCAAGATGGCAGCCATGACAGGGAGCAGGAACAATTGATTCTAGTCTAATCTGATCAACATTAGAGAGCGGGATTCATTTTCCCAAGAGAAAAGGACTCTGTCCCTGTTCCTAGATACTGGCTGCCGTGACACAATTCTATATTGTTTGTTCATCTTATTATTTAAAGGTGCAGCGGTAAGCTTCGACGTTCGACACAGCAAAGTAATGGGAAGACAATACATCAACATAGGGCTGACGCCTACCGTAGATTTTAAAAGGAAAACCAGTGGCTTGTATGGGTATATGGATGGGGATCCATCCAATGATTTTCAGGGACCAGATGGCAAGATATACACCGATCCAATCAAATTTGCAGAGAGTTGTAAGTTTCTTCCTGTAGTTTTCTCAATCAGTTTCAAACAAACAATTAGGGTCTTGAAATACTTGAAAAGTAGGTGCTGCCTAAATAATACAGAGTACAATTTGGAATTTAATTGTGCTCCTCTTGTCCAATCAGAATCGAGTAATTTTGTAGAGTGTATTATAAATAAATATAAGTGCCTGTAGAATATATTTTTAATGTGATACATGAAGTTCTATTTTGTCTTTGGTGATATAGGGAAAATAACGACTTCTAGCAGTCAAAGTTACGGATGGTCATGGAAAGACTCCAATTTTCATCCCGAAGACGCTATGGATCATTCTTATATTGACCCAGCGTTTGTGCCACTTTACAATCTACAAGGGATCGATGATCGAACAATAAAGGTTTATTAGCTAAAAAACTGGTTTTGCTAGCTAGGCAAGCACAATAATAATAACATACCCAAACGCAGAAGTACTTTAAGGTCGACGAAATGTCGTCTTATACACCCAATTRTGAGAAGGTTACCCTGGAAAGACTGTCTTTTGTATATAAGCCGTTATGCTTGCGTCGCTATTGAAACCCAGGCTTGATACATTTTGTTACGCATAAATTTATTAACTATGACTCCTATTTTCATTTTTATGTTATGAGGCTTGAGCCTTTTTTTTAATTCTAATTTACTAAAGTGTCATCAATTATCTTTTGGGAACTAATATCGTCTTTACAGACATGATTCCATCCTATATATGTAATAGATTTCATCTTTACTCCAACCTTAAGCCTTCGAATATTGAAAGACATATTCCTACAGCATGGTATCACTCTATCACTCATCAGAATTGTTTTCTATAATATCCAGAAAGCGAAACGTTTATGCTCATCCATGGGATTGACTGGGGATTTGCTGAAAGGCTGCGTATATGACATCGCCATTACAAATGACACATCACTGTCTGAACAAGAAACACTTCAGCAAGGTATTTATTGATGTGCATTGTATAGAACCCTCTTGAAATTATATTTGATGCTAGGCTTACATGAAAATATAAAACAAAACAAACTTTTCCACTATGGAATCTGTGTTATTTCTTTTCTATTTTCCTTACTCTCTTAAGATGGAAGTATAAGTTTGCCCATTTCAAACCTCCTCAAAAAATGGTTTATTTGTTGGCATTCAATTCTTCCAAAGCGTTAAAAATACCTAAACTAAATATTTCTCTAAGGGGAATGACACAGGATCTGAAATGGGAACATAACATCCAAAGTAAAGGGGTCCATATTTGCCAATGACAAATATAAGAATCTGAATGGGTTTAACATTAAATTGGTAGCAGTATCTTGAAAATGTTATGTTATGTTATCATACTAATTCTTTAAATAACCTGCAATTAATAGGTTGTGAAAATGTTTGTTCTGGAAGAGGTCGATGCATAAATCAAACGTGTGAATGCATTGAAGGATGGTCGGGGAATACCTGTGAAATAGGTGAGCGAATTTATAGGAGTGGGGTGGGGAGGTGGAACAAAATTCGTTTTCAAGTTTTTTTTATCTCGTTTTTGCTTACTTTTTAGGACAATGTAGCAATTGCTCTATACTGCATGGCAAGTGTATCAGTGGGTTTTGTCACTGTATTACAGGTTGGGAAGGAGAAAATTGCGACCAGGAAGGTACAAATATATATAGTTGTATACGAAAAGGAGACATCTTTAAGCAATTGCATTCAAAATAAACAGATCGATTTAACAAACCATGCAATGCTCGAAATGTCTTCTTTTTATTGCTATACAGCCACATGTTTTAATCGAAACAACTGTACAAGTCCACTTCATGGCAAATGCAAAACAACTGATATCTGTCTTTGTAATGATGGATTTACAGGTAAGTAGTCCATAAACACTTTAAACTTTAATTTTCTACATCTAATATACAGTACACGACATTAGTAATAGTTTGAGAGGAAAAAAAAGGATAATGATAAGTTATACCCTTGTGTGTAATTTCGATAACTAATTTCAGTTGGATAACGGCTTTCCTGGCTTCATTTCTTAGTTAGAAATAGCGTGCAAACCACACGTTAACCAACGAGATGCAAATCCTATATATTATATATATATATATWTTTTTGGCTGTAGTTTATGCTTTTGATGTCATAGTGAGTAAGTAAGTAAATTTTATTTAAAGAAGGTTTAAAAAAGTATTTATAAAATACACCAGTCTAGCAAAGCTAGTCTTACACTGGGTCATGTTCCCTCTTTCCCCATCCCACCCAGCCAATTCCCTCGCCATTTTATTATCATTAATTTTAACTCTTTATTTTACTTCTCTTTTCAACAAAAAAGGAAAGAACTGCAGTATTATGCCTACTTGCTATGAAGTTGCAAATTGTTCTTCTCATGGTGTCTGCGTAGATTTTGACGTTTGCAAATGCAATAAAGAATGGACTGGTAAAAACTGCTCTGAATTTTCGTGCCACGATTTGTCCTTCTGTTCAGGTATTAAAACTCCGTAATAGTTTTATACGGGCAAATATTAATGAGTTACAATTGAGGTTTGCCTTACAACCATTGGCCTTTAATTGCCACAGGTCATGGTCATTGCATAAACCTTTACGAGTGTAAATGCGACCGAGGATGGACCGGAGTTAGTTGTGGTGTGCCTGACTGCCCAGACGTTAAACAGTGCTCTCAAAATGGAGACTGCATATCAAGCAATCAGTGCAAGTGTAAACTTGGATTTCAGAGCGAAGACTGCAGCAAGCCTTCCGACTGCTCATCTTTATCAAACTGCAGCAATCATGGCATTTGTGAAAATACAGATGGCAAAAACTCAACATGCAGGTATGAAATGCTTTTGAATTCGTTAGGTTCAACAGCAACCATGAGGTACGCGCGCTTGCAACTGAAGACATGTTGCTTTGGACAACCAAAGTACCCCAGTTTCTGAAATGAAAAAGCTGTAAGGATTAAGGAAATAATAAGGTCAATTAGGCTACTGACTATTTCATGGTCCTTTGTGTTCCTGGCCTCCCAACGGCATAAAATAATCATGAAAATACAATAGAAAAAAGGGGACACATATATATAAATATATATCAATGAATGTCAATGTTTTAGCGATCCGGTGTATGTATGTATGTATATATATATATATATATATATATATATATATATATGAATGTCACAGTTTTAGCTATCCGGTATATATATATATATATATATATTATGAAGCATGATTTAAGTCTTTGGAATCCATATTTGCCCACA